AAAGGCTATTTTACTAGGATGCTGGCTGTTGAAAGGGAATATGTCTTTTCAAAGCCTTGTGCAGAATGATCCAAACTGCACCTTTCATCCTGGTATCCTCTTATCTAAACAGCACAGTAGCTTTGAAATGCAAATACCATTGACTGCCTGGTAATTTTTGTTATTCCCAAGACTACAGAGAATGAGTCATAAAATATTACCCCCTCCTCAATTTATGAGCGTTGTTATACATTTAAAAATATAATTAGACCATGCTGCGATCATACATTGCTGCTAAACTACTGTATAATGAAGAAAAATGTCCATTTTTTCTTATTTCTTTAATGCTTGTACATACATAAATATCAAGATAAAGGCCTTTTGTTCAATTGGTAAAGCATTAAATATCAGATAAATTGTGGTTTGTGAAGCTGTGTCTTTAATGTGTTCACACTCAATCTATTTCATGACATGAGAAACTCTTTCCCAAACCAGATGTAGGGAAAGAATCCTGTTCCAATATTAAGTGCAGCATTCCTTTGTCATTATCAAAGTTTGTTCAGACATCCTTTGTGTACTTCCATCAAAAGAATTTATGAACATCTTTTCCACTTTTTTTAATACAACAGTCTTGCCTCAGCTCAAAACCATATCCCTAACGAGTTACATAATGTAACTGGCACATTGTAAACCTTTACACATGCGCTCATCCAGATAATTACACAATTAATTTTCACTTAGTACAGCTGAAACAGGATAATGAAATTTCCACTGGTGTTCAGTTACATCCGGGGGTCAGGGGTCAGCTTCCTGTTTGGATAAGGGTGAGTTTAAAGAGGATTTCTGACGGTCTCTTTGCTTCAGCTGAATCTGAAAACACTCCAATGGAATTTCAATTTGCAGCTCACTTCAATGCAAGGAGCAGATGGTGGGAGTGTGCAGCCGCTGCCCTTTCTGGAGATGCCTATAGGGCAGGTGTAGTCAGGGAGCCAACTTTTTCACTCCTCTCTCCCCCTGCTTTTTGGTGCCTTCAAGTCATTTTTTGGCTCCTGGTGACTCCTGGAAAAGTCCCTGCAGTTTTCTTGGCAAGGTTTTTTGGAAGTGGTTTGCCATTGCCTGTTTCCTAGGGCTGAGAGAGAGTGACTGGCCCAAGGTGACCCAGCTGCCTTTGTGCCTAAAGGGAGACCGGGACTAGAACTCCTGATCTCCTGGTTTCTAGCCTGGTGCCTAAACCACTACACCAAATTGGCTCTCCTCTCTGCTACCTTCTATGAACAAAGTCTATGAACTTTGACAGTGTTTCTTACTGGATAGCCTTGCAGAAATGGAGGTATATTTATACAGAAGAAAAGTGACAAAAGTGATATGGACTGTTTCATTTGACTTGCCTCTAAAGAACTATGATCTCTGCCTAGGCTTTCTCAGCCTGGATCCATCAGACTAACTGAGCCTGGCTTGTGGTGGTCAAGTATCATGATCAGAGTTGTATCTGTAGGACACTAACTATACCAAAGGTGTGTGGAATGTATTTGAAGAGGATGGCAGAAGGTTCCCATTTATATAAGTTGGCTAGAGTTCTCCAAGGACAGGAAAATCCCAGGCCCACTGGTTTAGGGTCATCATTCTACCTGTACACTTCTGGCAGTCCAGCACATGGTAGTTTGCAAAACAAGATAAATGGTAAAATCTGCAATTGATAAAACATAAAACCAGTTCAATAAGACAAGTATTTCCTAAACTAGATATTAAATGTAATAAATATAAAGTACCAATCAAGAAGAGAAGGGCAATTTATAATGTGGGTTTTCAAATTTGCTTTAAAAGCAGCCAAGAGGACAAGGGCTGTACCCCAAGGGGAAGAGAATTCCACAGCTTGGTGCCACCCCTAAGAAGGCCCTGGCCTCGTTATTTCTTGCCCTTTTCTGGGTGGCATCACATCCTAAGTGACTCTTAATTGAAGAGCTGCTCTTCCAGCTAGTGACATATTGGGATCGGCAGGTCACAAGCCATAAAGGGTTTATAAATCAAATGTGACTTGGAAAACAACCGTGAGCCAGTGCAACTGAGCCAGAATTACCTAAGGGTTGCACTTCAAAGATGGGTGGGTTAAGGAGCCACTTTGGAGAGGGGTTCAGGAGTGAAGGGAGCAGCATGACTGCCTTAAGTAACTACCAGTCTTAAAGTAACCTCAGAATTACAAAAAATTTTGGCCATACCCTTCCCCACTTTGGAAGGTTCTGGGGCCCACAGAAGGGGATCCTGGTGGGGTGCTCATTTTGCATTTAGCATACTATATGGATGGACCAATCATTTATTCTAGTGCACAGTTGGCTTTAAGATTCAAGTATTTTGTTCTATCAATCATTTCATAATCTGAACCGAATAAAACATTTTAAGAGGGCATGATATTTTTTGGGAAGGTTTCACTATTTCCAGCATGTACACCTTTGGCCATGTAAACTCAGCAACTGATTTTGGACTAGCCAGATTCTCCCAGCCCAATCTACCAAAAGGTTGGTGTAATAGGTTAAATACTGGAGACAGGAGTGCTCTGAATGCTACTTTGAGTTCCAAATAAATAAATGAATTGCACAATACTTGATGTTAAACTGAATGCAGGGGAAAAAGTAAGCCCTATAGTAATATAGTATTTTTTAAGAAACTATGTTTCATTTTGTCAGTTTCCAAGAATCTGGGATATGCAACAATAGCTCAGGAAAACATACATAATAAAAGTAGATCTCTTTTATTTATTTATACATAAGAAAAGTAGATCTCTTTTAATAAAGGCTGTTCTTTCTCTTTCTTTATATTCATATTTTTTAATAAAAAGATCTCATACAGAACTTTAAAATTGGTTTATGCCTTCTTCATATTATACTTACAGATTAAAAAATGATAAAATACGATTCATCAAGAAGCTAGAGATGATGTAACCGATATAAAGTCTCTTGCAGTAGACCACACCTGATGTTAGCAGTACCCAGAGACCAATTTCAGACATTCTGAAGTTACAGATGGATGAACCATAAAATCCTGACCATCCCATATGCTGATATGTTCCCTGCAAATTAAATGGCAGTTCTCCAGCAGAGAGATTTCAAAGGGAACATAGTGTGGTCTTTATTAGGCCAGTGGGTGGGGAGGAAGACATCTGAATTCATTTTACCAGAGGTCCTTGGACAACCTTCATGGCAGAATTGAAGGCTGCTTTGACAACAAAAGAAGTCACATCTTTTACAAAAGTAAGATGGTAAGATACTAGAGATATCAGATAACTAAAGTTATCATAGCTTTTTAGAAGTCTTGCTTAATGACAATATATCAAGTTGGGTGTTTTTGTAGTAAATTAGCTGCTGTCCAAATTCCAGAATAGAGTTTATGTAAGTAAAAAGACTGTGTCTTAAATGTTATCCTTGTTAAAATTCTATAGTGTTCATGGTTCATTTAAAATGGATTTACTATCAGTCCCAAAACACCAGATGGAGACCTAGGGAAACCACATTTTCTCAATACAGTTTCAAGCATATGTGAAAACCTTTCAAAGAGCTGATACCTTGTCAAAAATATGGGAATGGGGGGAAGGGGTTGTGATAAGCAGGAGTTGCATATTACATTGGTGGCTACATGACAGACTATCGGATGAAAAGACAAATCATTTTGTGGATGACCAAGTGAGGCCTGTTTACAGTTAAAAAAAAATGAGAAAATGACACGTGCAATTAAGATGAATATTTATATGAATATTTATATGCCACCCATCTCTGGGGGAGATGTGGCATATAAATTAGATAGATAGATAGATAGATAGATAGATAGATAGATAGATAGATAGATAGATAGATAGATAGAATATATGTAGAAGAAAATGTTATGCATTTCAGCTTATGTAAGAGATTGTGATAACAGCAAATGAAAGTTTGTGTTTGGATTTATATATCAGACTAAATCACAGTGTGGTTATCTTGGTTTTGGCTTAAACTATTTTGTTAACTCTGATTTGCAAACTATAGTTTAAGGCTCCATGTGTTATGCAAATCCACCCAATTATGGTTTATTCAATAAATAAGTAAACAATAGCTTAAGTTTTGGCCTGTCTCAAAAGTATAGAATTATGTCATAGCTGGAGTATATCCACTGACATCACTGGAACTTATTAACCATGACTTCAGTGAATTAACTCTAAATAAGACTACTCTGAATCCAACCCAATATGTAATATTATCTTATTAATGTTTTTGAAAACAATTCTACAACCAACTGTATTTACTACTAGTGATTTTTTTTCTTTGCTAAACATTTGGTTTACTGATAGTTTTGCTATTGGTTTTCTTAATTTTAGATAATTTAAAAATATCTTTTAGCATGAATTTCTTTGATTTCTGTTATTTAAGCAGCAATTGCTTCAAAAATTTCACTGTAAAACAAGATCCTTGTGTAGTCAATAAATATATTACACCTTTGTTGTGTTTTCTAATACTGTGTACCTTGACCTGATCAGCTCCTGTTTCAAAAAGAGCAAAGTTACAATTTGGGAAAGTCAACAATGTTAGTTCTATTTCTTATACTGATTCCAGATTACATGTCTGTGTTTTCTCCACCCCATCATTCCACCCCTTTTCTAATTTCTGCTAATTGCTAGATTGAATTTCACAAATTTATGCACAAATTTATGCTCAGATGGACACAGATAAAAAATCCAAATGTTCCTAAAATGAACACATTGATTAATTACAATGGATTTATTTATCCATATACAGTATAACCCACATTAGCAAGAATAAAAAAAATCTCAGGATTAAACTTTCTTGTTTAATCAGCTGCTTAGCTCTTTAAACTGGGTTGGCTCATCTTATTAGCTGGCCAGTTACTCTGTTGTCCAGGGCAAGCAGCTTTTCATGATGAAAAATTGGGCTTCAGAAAGGAACTTTCTTGTGGGACACTGTTGTCATAAGATTGCAACATTCATAGACATTATATGAACAAAAGGAAGAGCTCAACACAGGGTTTTTTTCTTTCAGCAGTAGCTTCCTGTCTTTGCAACTGAGTTGGTAAATAAATTTTATCCATGTCTCTGGTAGCCTCAGTATCTAAGGTAAGATAAAGTTTTTGTCTCCTCTTCAGTGAATATCAAATTGCTGCCTCTTAACTTTGTATATGTACTGAGAACCATGAATATAAATTCTCCTTCTCCATGTAACTTCTTATGGAATCAGGTAATTTTGTTACATGAAAGCATGATGAATTTGAAGAACTAGAAGTGATGATGATGTCTCCCAGCAATTTCTCCTTTGATTCATTTGTGCTTCTTTTGTATCTTAGTGCTAATCAATAAATTGGTCTACATTGATAGCTTTTCATTGAATTAACAATTATAAATGATAAATTATTAGCTCATCGTCCCAACCTCCCAGCCCCATTCCCACTATCCTTGAACCTTGAATAAATAGCAATGTTGAAGTTCTTACTGAAAGAGAAAGTAGAGGGCAGGAAACTCAGAATTTCCCATTCTTCATGGGATGACCTTTTGGAACTATAGATGCTGATTTATACATCTTGTACATGTGGGAAAGTAATGTGTCTTTAAAATAAGCAAGAATGCTTTGAATCTAAATTAACACCTTCAGGGAAGAGCAGGTCATTACCTCAAGTGATTTAATTATAATTTTACTCAGTGAACTAAATGGAAGATGACATTTATGATTTCCACATGATAGCTGGTAGGGCAAGAAAACAAAAATATTAAAGGTCCTTTCTCTACAGAAAATAGATCCTCCCTGAAACTAATAAGTATGCATCTGATATTAAAATCAAGTCAAAGAACCTATTTATTTTCATTGCATATAATTTATACCCCTTGAATGTTGTTTAATATGGTCATAAAAATGCCAGTTGGAGTATTTCATAATATTTTTTATAAACTGCTTTTACAGTCTAGCCTTTGTTCCAAAGTTCAGAGTGACAACTGAGATGCATAGGCTTTGGAAGCTCCAGTTTTCCCTAATATTGAATGGCATACTTTAACTTTTAATATATATTTTCAAATCTTGGTAATTGGGAGCAGGACATTTCTTTCTTACTGATGTGTCAAAGCTGAAATTTCCCAACATTTTTTAAAACTAAGAAATCTCACAAATATTTTAATTATTTTGCTTTTTTTTTTTGGTTATTAAATGAAAATTTTACAATTGTTATTTTATGACAAGTCAAAGTCAGAACAATATCTAATATGCTACTGCAACTGTGATATTATATGGTCCTTTGTCAGCTTCTGATCACAAGTTTCCAATATTCTTCAAGTGCTAGTTCATACCTGAGGTTTTATTAAATTCTTCAGCTGTGTATTGCATTTATGATTTCAGTTACAAACCTACACATTTTAAATAACGCAAATCAAGAAATGTCAATACTTGCACATACAATTACATTTCATTTATGGCATAGCATTTTATTTAAAATTATCATAAAGCGGAATATGTGATCATGAACATTGTGGAGTATCGTGAGTTTGGGGTAACATAAAAGCAACAGTTTTACTGTCAATCTATAACCTACATGGCTATACTCACACATGCCTTTTGTGCATCTGATTTTTTTTTTTTTAAATCTTGAATCTTTTCATAAGTTATAAAAAAGAAGCATTAGGGGTGATTATTTGACTGGGCAAATGATCACAGATGAATTGGTGTGAGCAGACATGTACCCTTCACTATCTTCTACATTTCTATAGTTCTTTTTTGAAAAATTCTAGGGAATGTCATAACAGTCTTTGCTTTGCTTTTAAAGAACTTCAAGAAAGAAGAGAAATTTCATCTCAAGAGTTACTCAGTGACTAAATTTGAAGCCAACTGTTGGCTTCCAAATACCCAGGATCTCATAAGGAAACATATTAATTTCAGGTGAGCAAATACTATCCCTGATTTACTTATTATTTTACGCCATTAGATCCCAATTTATATTCCTGTAATATATTGCTTCCACAACAGTATGCTTCCTTATATTTATTTATATAGAGAGGAACATTATGTAAAGAAAATGTTGTCATATCTGGGCTGAGATATTAGTAGGTAGTGGCTGAGAGCTTAAAAGAAAGGTATTGGTCAATGCTGAACAGAAGTGGAAAGTGAGAAGTTTAGGCATTTTAAATGATGAGTCAACTACAGAAGATTGACCCAATAAGCATATATCATAGAAGCCAATTCTAGCAATAGATAAGTTGGCCATTCAGAAAATTCAGTATATGGCTTCATGGACCCCTTAGTTAATTGGATAAAGCAGGGAGTTAGCTCTTGACAAAAGTTATTGTCCCTTTCAGTATTTATGCCTACTGCATCCTTAATTTGCTTATTTATTATTAATTTTGAAAATGTGACATTTACTGTGATTGGATATTTTTGCAGGGTTAGGGCCATCCTTAATTATTTCCTCAATTGTAGCTGAGTGTATCTATATTGCTGTGAGATTTAAAAAGAAATAACTTGCTCTTCTTGATTTCAACTGGCTATGGCATAGGGAAATCTACAAATAGCGGGTGCATGAGAGAAGAGAGGGGAAGAAAATGACTAGGATAGGAGCTCTTGTACAGGAATAAGGAAGAGTCAAAAATTTCTTCACCAGCTGGGGAAAACTTTATATATGGCCACCCATCTTGCAAATGTGACTCTGGGTAGCTAACAACACATTAAAAGAATAAAAACAATATTAGTGAAATAAAAAAACCAACAGTGGTCACCAAGGATAGACCCAACAAGAGAATACACAGAAACCATTCAATGTTGGTTGATGCACCATCCATTCGCCTGTGTTTTAAGAACCACATTTCTGCAGTGCAACAAACTCTGTGATATAGACCCAAGGTGGAAGACTCATATATTTTCTGCAGCCATATATCTTTTGTGTTTTGATGAGACTGCAATGGCTGTCAATCAAAGGTTCCGTGAGAACTTGATGGAGTAGGGATTAAGCGGGGAGAAAAAGTTCAGTCAGGCCAAAAGCATCCATAGCAATTTTTCTAAGGTCCAGTGGAAAGGGCAGGACTTGTCAGAAGCTTTGCCTTTTGATCAAGGGTTCCACAGTTTTTTTAAAAACTAACTAGTTCTGTAGCCTGAACAGGTTTGAAAATCCCTGGTATAGATCGCCTTGGCTGGTTGTATTCTGCAATGCAACCTAAAAGTATTTTAAATAAATATATGTGAATCATGTTTGGTCCCTGTATTTTTGTCTATGTAGATTGGACAAGGTTTCAGGGGAAGGAGTTAAGTATAATGCCACTTTACTATCTTTGTTTTTGTAAGCCATATGCTTTAGTTCTAAGAGCTAGGTGTACAAGTGAGTATGCCTCCACATGCATAATCACTTTATTTTTTCCTCAGGAATACTGTTCTCCCTCGAAACTAATAACAAGTATAATATGCAGACATAACTGTGTGTGCCTTACATAAATTCCTCAATGCATTCAAGTAGAATTACTGCAGATCAGACAGGTGGTTAATTTTACCATCACCACATCATCTCAGCATGAGTTTTGAATTTTGGGGGAGAGGGGGTGCCAGTGTTGATTCCTGGCAACTGTTTGGACTAGTTCCTGCAGTTTTCTTGGCAAGGTTTTTCAGAAGTGGTTTGCCATTGCCTCCTTCCTAGGGCCGAGAGAGAGTGACTGCCCAAGGTCACCCAGCCAGCTTCGTGCCTAAGGTGGAACTGAAACTTACAGTCTCCCTGTTTCTAACCTGGTGCCTTAATCACTATGCCAAACTGGCTCTTAGCAGTTTTGAAATACTGAATAAAATTCTGAATTCTGCTTAGTATGGATTCATGCACAATCCCATCCACCATTTTCATTCCATAGAAGTCTTAATCTGGAATAGCATAATTTAAAGCAAATTGTGATCTTGTGGTTCAAGTATTGTGATTGCAGCCACCAAGACATACAAGTTAACTATTGAGGAATCATGATTCGTCAGATACATAACAAATAGTTATGTTCTCATTTTAAACCCAAACTTGGAAACTTGAATTTCCTTTCCTTTTCTTTCTACTTTAGAATTACTTTTCAAATATATTATAGAAATAATTGGTTTAAGAAGCAGGAATGTACGTATGTGAAGAAAACTGAGGCCAAATAATGTTTCTTTTAATTTAACTTTAGAAAGACTGTATTTCATGGCCATAATAAATTTGGTGGTGAATGAGCATCTAACTTCACAGAAAACAGCCCAATTATTTAGAGTTTTAGAAATTTTCTTTTGTCTTGAGCTGCAGGATATATAAAGAAGAAAAAAAATGTTTTCAGCATAGGGACAAACATGGAGGAATTAACAGACAAGTTTGGATTTAGTAATGTTTATCTTACAGAAAATTGAAGTCCCCCTGGTGACAACTCTAAACTAAACTGCATCTCACCTATCTATAGAAGGAAAACAGTGACCTCAGTGTGCTAAATTCAATCATGTAAAAAAGGAAAAGGGAAACAACTGTGTGTGTGTGTGCGCGCGCGTGCGTGTGTATGCCTTGAGTTTTTTTACAAAAAAGGTGTTGAGGTGCTAGGGCCTTGGGAGTTTATTTTTACTCCTCCCCCCATCTTTCCCATAAATTCCAATTATCATTCCTCGAATGCCTAAAATTATCAGCAGGATTTCCATCTGTCAGAGCATTCATTAATACTCAGATCTGAACAAGACTTTCTCCTAGGAAAGGTGGGTTTTGTTTTATTTTGTTTTGGGGCTATAAGCTACTGGCTTGACAACAATTAAACCAAGAAAATGTTTTCTATTGCAGATTGGATTCACTTCTGAAACTATTTTGTAAACCATGGAGAAATTCTAGCTATGGAGAAGGACAAAGGATGAAAGAGATGCAGTGGGGAACATCCTGGGAAAACATATAATCAACTTTTAGTTGATCTGATCGCATACACCCCCTCCCTCCTACTGTCCTGCAGGAAATTTTGACTTTGTGTTTATTTTTCCTTACTTAAGATACTAGCTATTGAAAATAGATTCCAAGCCTCAATCAAGCTCATTTTACACACACACATACAAGGACACACGAACATGCCCAACAACACAAAGTGCAAATGAATCCTGTAATTTTCTAGATATAAGTGCTGATAGTATTTGCTTAAAAAAATGTAAATCATACAGTAATAAACTTAAAGAATTGGAAGGGGCCATTTAGATTATCAAATCCAACCCCCTAAGTTAAAGCATTCCATAAAGATGTCCAGCCTCTGTTCACCTACTTTCTGAGTTATAAGTTTCATTATTGCTCTTCTTAAAAAAAAATAAAATCATATCATATCATTCAGCCAAAATCTGCTTTCTTGTAGCTTAAATCCATTCTTCTGTGTCATTCATTCTAGAACAAAAGAAAACAGGCCTGGACTTTTTCCTGTGTGACATCTTTTCAGGTATTTCAAGAGTGCTGTCACAATTTTTAGTCTCTTGATCATTCTCATTTCTCTTTTCCAAAACTGTTCCACTTGGTTTGAGTCCTTCTTCATGTATCAGCCCAAACTGGACATAATACTTGAGATAACGTCTGACCAACTCAGAATAAATATTAAAAAATACTAACTACTAAATACTTCCTAGTACTGAGAAAGTAGGCTGTTAATGCAGCCTAAAATTTCATTTGCAGTCACATCCTATTACTGATGGATTTTCAGTCTGTAGTCAACTACTATTCAATTTTTCCCCCCACAAGTACTATTGACAAGTCAGGTATACTCCATTCTCTACCGTCATCTTGCCTGTTTTGACCCTCCTTGCAGATGCCATTAGATTAAGGACTGCTGTTCTAAAGCTTCACAAAGTACCCTCTGAGTTTAATAAAATGTGATTCATGAAGGCTGCACAGTCAACTTATGCAAAAAAAAAAAGCGGCGGGAGGAATAGGTTTGATCATTGCCTCCAGCAAGGTAATATTCCATTTCCAACTGTTGTTTTGTTACGTAGTCTTAAAAAAAACCCTAAAGGAATATTTTTATTCTGTGAAGGCAAGATAACAAAACATGACATAACAAAAATGACCCTTTGGGTTGATTAACCAAAACTCTGCATGGCTGCTTTGGTACTGTATTATAATTCTCGGTTCAGATAAATATAAATCACATATAATTTTGTGTATACTTATCTTGAACGGAATGGGACTTAATGCTTTATGATCTGGCATAGGATTGAACTCTTCCCTGGCTATCTAATATCCACATAAACACACAAAGCTTAAACTTTTTCTGTACGCTTGGCTTCTCCAAATTATGTAATATAACATTGCCATGTCCAAGTGTTCAGGGAAGTTTAAAATGCCACCTTTCTATGAGTTACATACTACGTTCTTTGTGATTCAGAGTGTGGGAAACTGTCATTTTCATGACAGAGGCACTGAACCACATTAACACAGAAGGACGATGTAGGAAACCCTTTTACTGCCTGTGTTTATTCTTAACCAACATACCATCCACATTGTGACTACAGAAGGTGAACTGCTGGGTACAATAACCAAAGTGTGACTCTCTCCCTTGGCTTGTGTTAGTCATCATTTCTGAACATTTGTCAGACTTAATGTGCTACAGCAGACTGCAGGTCACAATGTGTCATTTCCAAATGAACTTTGACTTTTCCCCTCCTGGGGCCAAGAGCCAGTCATGTTAACCTAAGAATCTGTGCCTTAAAAGGTGGAGTGGAGAAGCTGAATTTCCAGAAAATCTTTCATGGGTAAAAGTGAACTTGGTGTCAGTCTTTTGGGCCACCAAAACTTGTGAGAATAGTTTAGTCAAGGAAATAGGGTCTTCATTTTTTTAAAAAATGGGGCAAATACCCAAAGGGAGTGTATACTGTAAGTTATAAACAGTACTTTAAAAGAAACGCAGCCTCATCCTAGGCTTGAAGCGTTTTGAAAGGAGTCATTTAAGGCATCGTCCACTTCCCTTTCCAGCACAGGAAACTTAATTAAAGGATCCCTGATGAATATCTGCCTAGCCTCTGCTTGATCGCATCCAGTGATGGAGAGTAATAATTCAGCTGTATATGCAGAGAATTTGATGGAATGTGTAATTTTTTTCTATTGAGGTGAGAGGCTTAAGGATCCCTTTAATTTTGTCGAAGGCTTTCACGGCCGGAATACGATGGGTGGTGTGGGTCTTCTGGGCTGCCTATGCCAGTCCCAAATGCTGGCAAAACATTAGGAAACAAAACTTCCAGAACACGGCCACACAGCCCGGAAGACTCACACCAACCCCTTTAATTATTGATCAAACTACACAGCCCAAGGACCTGGGATAGGCAGATGTTGTTGTTTGATGGTGTTAAAGGTATCATTGCAGGATGTAAGTTGTTCCAAATAAAGCTGCCTTTTGCAATTGACTGATGGTGATTTTGTCAATGCCAACAGTTTTCAAGTGGTACTAGATGTTTTGGGATTGCACCCAAGGAGCCTACTGCTATTGGTACTATCTTTGCTTTCTTTTGCCACAGTCGTTCTATTTCTATTTGCAGGTCTTTGTATTTTGTGATTTTCTCCAGTTCTTTCTCTTCTCTTCTGCTGTCTCCAGGTATTGCAGTATCCACTATCCAGACTTTTTTGTCTTTCTTATCAACAATTGCTAAATCTGGGGTGTTATGTGGCAGGTATTTGAATGTTTGAATTCTGAAGTCCCAGAGCACTTTCACTTCTTCATTTTCTATTACTTTGTTTTGTGGTCCCACCAGTTCTTGCTTGCAGGCAAACGGTATTTCTTGCAGATTTTCCAATGCACCATTGTTGCTGCTTTGTCATGCTGTT